GTTGGAATAGTTTTTAATCAAAACTTAAAAACTATGAGAAGAATCTTTTTTTATTCAACTTATACAGTTATCTATTTAATCACCTGAATGTAATATTAGTCACCTGAATTTGTAACGTTTCATAATTTCGTTGTAAGAATTGTTATAATAAACTCAGCGTCAAACCAATCTCCCGACGTCAAAACCAATCTCCTATCTATGTATGCAAAAAGAAACTACTCCGAAAGTTTCGAAACCTTAAGTTAGCTGTGTATTGTATTATTTGTATTATTTCATAAACAGACTATTTTTACTGTTTTTATTGACGGAGAATCAAATTATACAGTATCAAACGTTAAACGTTCCAAATAAATCTAATTATAATATGTCTCGGACAGATCTAATACCTCAACCACTTGAAGCAATTTCTGAATTTAAAAAACGTTGGTATTTTTATTTCAAGACATGGGCAAAAACTCATGTACTATGGTTTATAGAATTTATTTTTACAGGTTTTTTTAATACCGGTAGTTCAATTTCAAACAGTAACCTAAAATCTTAGTGGGGGATTCTTTGTTTTTTCAAGTTTTTTTATTATGTGTAGTTTGTCTGATTTATTCTTGGCTGTCCCAATAAAAATTTTAGGGTGATTCCACAAATCCGTTTATATGACAAGTCACTCTCGTTATAGTAAATTTATTATAGTAAAGAACAGTTTATATAAACCCTCTTTGATATAGGAAAGAAAATCTCTCGGTCCGATTACTTTACTATAACGAGAGTGACTTGTAGAATATTCTCTTGCTCTTGCAGTGTTAAGCAGAGCTGAATAGAGCAAAATAGTGTAGTAAGAAAAAAACAGGTGTCATAAATATGCTAAGTTTTTTTTTTTTTTTTTTTTTTTTTTGTGCGAAAACTGAATGTTTTTGTTATTTTTCACTTTGAATCATTTTTCCTTTCAGATTTTTTACCGTTTACATGAAATGATAACATACCAATCATTTGCTACGTAATATTGACAAAATTCATCATCTGATAAGCAAATAAAGTTA